CAGACAGCGGCGGAGACAAAGGGCAAGCCGCCCCTCCTTCAGCGGGGGCCCCAGTATTGGCTCGTTGAAGGCAGACGCACGTGAATGGCCAGCACGCTCTTCTCTGCAGTCCTGACTTTCATGTGACATCCTCTTATTTGAAGCCAAACATTTGGGGCCATAGTCTGATAACCCAGCGAGTCAAGTACTCATGTCACTAGCGTTTGAATCCCCACGGGACAGACCAGATCACAAACCCAAATGAACTAGGCTGTGTAATGGCTTCAGAAATGCGTAATTCACCCAGGCTGAACCATGCCACTTCTTGGGTATCAGTCACATTGTTTTTAGCTACTACTAGCAAGATCCCCACTAACGGGAAACCATCTGATGAGGAATATACTACACAGCGCGGAAATGTATCACCCTGCATGAAGAATAAGGAATGATTCTCAGCAAGAAGCCTAGAGGTGAGCTCACGGCTCGACGACATACCCGGGCCTGTTGAACTCCTGGTCCCATACTCCCGTTACGGGCTTGGCTCACGTGTCTCCTCAAGACGGCACCAGGAGTTCTGACTCAGCGGCACCCAGCTTAGGAAGAGGGAACTCCCTGAGAAATGCTGATTCCAAAGCTGGGCTAAAGAACATACAAGATGCGCCGGGAACTCCTTACTCTGACAGAATGTAAAGCTGTATTTAAAGGATGGGGGCGGGTCGAAGGGACATAGCCAGCTTGAAGAAACTTTCTTTGGTCAAGTTTGGAACAAGTTGAGCATCAAAATAAATAATGACAGCAACAGATGATGAACCATGTGATAAAATAAAATCTATAACTCCAAACTAATATATATAAATGAATGAATAAATAGAGAGAAGAACAAGCTCTCCCTTATATTAGAATGCTAAGCAATAAACATCGAAGGAATGACGGGATTAGGGAAATCAACATTTGGCAATTATTACAGTAATCATTAATTTAGTCAAGAAACAACAATGTATACAAAGAAACAGTGGGTGGCATTTTTAAGGAACAGGATATTAACATAGTCTCAAAGCACCTTCCTTCCCCAAATACTCATTAAATACAAAGAGAAAAAGAGTAACTTGACACTGGAAAAATCTAGCTTAATCAAGTGTTTAAAATTAATATCAATTCTAATGAAACAAATAAGAATCTTTCATTATCTGATAGGGGCAATGAAAACAGCACTTACATGGCATTCCTGCCAAAAGTATGTGACTAGAATCTGATTATGAGAGTATCAGACAAACCCAATCTGATGGACCTACTACTCAGTAAGTGGCCTTTAAGATTCTAAGATGTCAAGGCCATAAATGCCGATGAAAGAACGAGGAACACTTCCAAATCACAGGAGACCGAAGAGACAAGATAACTGAATGAAACACGTAATCCCAGACTGGATCTGTCTGTTATAAAAGACCTTATTGGGACAGCTGGTAGAACTTGAGCTGTGGCATTAGCTGATTGATGCTACTTCTGATTTTGATGGCGGTTTGTGGCAAGGTAGGAGAGTGGTCTTGTTTGTAGGAATTGCACACTCACATATTCAGGAGTGATGGGGCCTTGTGTCAGCTACACCCTCAAGAAAAGTTCTTGGTCCTCTTCTTGTAACATCTGGTAAATTTGAAATTATATCAAAAGAAAAAGAAAGCAGGGCTGTTTTCTCCAGAGCATCCCTTTTCATTAAGAAGACGTTTCTAAGCAGCCCCTGATGGCCAGGCTGGGTTATGCCTCCTCCCGCTGCGGAGGAGGCTGGGGAATGAGTTTACAGGGGAAGTGGCTCTTCCCACCGGGAAGGGGACGTGGGGGTGGAGAGTGGCAGCTGTAGGCAGCCAACAGCTCTGCCTCCGTGTGGGCCACTTGGAACACAGTGCCAGGCGCTACAGGGACTCATCCACGAGCCCCAGGCTGTTTGTTCTTTCCTGTAGTTGCTAGATGTCCGACCGAGCATGGGAGACGCCAAAATGAGCCTATCCTCCCAAGAGGTCCACAGGGGAGCCTTTTGTGAACTAACAATTGTAGCACAGTAGAATCAGTGCATGGTCACTGTAAGCCCGGGGTACTGAGACAGCACAGATGGACCTCAAATACCCCAAGGGGAGGGTGAGGCCAGGGACGTGTTCCTAGAGAACATTCACTGGATGGGGATGGTGACACTCTTCTTGCTGACATGGGGGATGAGTCATGACCAGTTGACATGGTACAGTGTTAAAGCCTGTGTCCTTCCTGCTCTGGTACAGGACGCCCCACGCTGTGGTGGCCCCGTGAGAGGCAGCAGTGGCCAGTGTGGAGAACTCAGGGAAGAGGGACCAGCCTGAGCAACGGCGCAGAGGTCGGGAAGGCACAGCATACAAACAGGGACCTGCAAGCTGCTCATTTGGCTTCTGACAGGGGTTAGAAAGCAAGGTGGGTTGGGGCCAGGAAACTGAAGAAACTTGATTGCAAGACTAAGAAGTTTCAACTTGTGTGAGTGCAGTAGGGAGCCCATGAGTGTTCTGTGAGGATGCACGATTAGGCTGTGTAGCTGAGCAGTTCACCTGCGCTGTGTGTGGAGGGTGAGTTCCTGGCCGGGAGACTCCCTAGGAGACTGTTGTCAGGTTGGGTAGAAAACGTTCAAGGTGAAATATGACCTCGGGGATGGAGGGAGAGAGGTGTTGGGAGAGAAAGGGCTGTACTAAGTGACCCATAAGGGAGGGGAGTGTCTGAGTACTCAGGTGTTCCAAATGCTGCAAAGATGGGGTGTCTTCAGTAGACACAAGAAGGCAGGAGCATGCTCTAGGTGGGCTCCACAGGCCTGTTGTGGGTTATGACTCCCACCCACCAGGGTGTGGACAGAATCAATTACACATCATGCTGGGTTTCAGCAGAGGTGAGATCATGTATATGAAAATTTCCCCGTCTCGATGACACCTACCCCACTTAAAGCTTTTTGAAGGTTCCCCATTGCGTCTAGAACAGAGACCAGCCTTTCCTGTCGCCCACAAAGCTGGAGTACCTCTACGGCCTGCATGCTCATCTAATGCACTCTCTGTGCTCCTGCTACACCAGTCTTCTTCCAGTCCCGTGCATGGGCCATGGTCACCACTGTATCTCTAACACCAGTTAGCAGGTATTAAATAAACGGGTGCTGCTTTAGCCCCAGGGCCTTTGCACATGCCATCTGCATGTCCATCTTTAACCACTGGCCTTTTCCTCTTTGCTTACTCAGGTGTACTCTTTAACTATCAGTGCTAAGTGTCTTTCCTAGGAGCACATCTGACATCCCCGAATGGGTCCAATCTTTCATATACTTTATAGTAACACATGCCTCCCCTTTATTGCACCCACAGTAGCCATGATTTACATTGACTGTGGGAGTATTTTCCCAGGGCTCATCTCCCCAACAGACTGTAAAATCCAGGGGGCAGTGTTCTGTTTTTGAGTGTTATACCTTTGTACTCAGTGTGGGAATTGGAACTCTGTAGTACCCAGTGAAGACTTGTGGAATGAGCCCTGGCTGGTTTGGCTCAGCAGTTAAAGCATCGGCCTGTGGACCAATGAGTTGAGGGTTTGATTCCAGTCAAGGGCATGTACCTTGGTGGCAGTTTATCCTGGGCCCTGGTTGGGGCCGTGTGGGAGGCAACCAGTCGATGTGTCCCTCTCACTCACATTGATGCTTCTCTCTCCCTTTCTCTCCCTCCTACTCTATCTGAAGATTAAAATATATATATATATATATCCTCAGGTGGGGATTAAGAAAAAAAAGATTTATGGAAAGAATGAATGGATGGATAGATGAGTGAATGAGTAAAGATTCCATTGATGTTTCTGGAAAGGGACTGAGAAGTAGGTTATGATTGAGAAGCATCTTCCAGGACAAGTAGAATTTCAACAGGAGTTGGTCTTCTAACAACCAGCTCAAAACTAGCAAAAGTATGGGGGGGCGGGGACGGGGTGTGTGACCAAAGGGAGTTTCCGAATATCTAGGAGAAATAGGCAAGTAGAAATTTAGAGAAATTATGGGTCACAAGACCAGAAAGACAATGAAGCCAAGTTTTGGGAGCATTCAAACGTGAGGGTGAGAATTTGGTTCTTAACTTGAGAGACGATGGGGAGCGACGAGAGTGGGTGAGGCAGACGACCCACTCACAGCTCCCCTTTGAGGGGACAGATGGACAGGGAGACTGTGTTTGCACATGCCATCCTGCAGAGGAGGTGGCCACAAAAAATCACTTTAGGAGGGTATTGCAAGAGCTTTGGCCACCTTTGCAAAGCATGTTATTGAAGGTAGTGCAGATAAGGGACGAGGAGAGCAAAATCTGGGTGATAAAATTCAAGAGACTTGGCAACAGATGGAAAGATTAAGAGAGAAAGAAGGTCATTGGAGGTGGGACTGTGAGTTCCTAGGACTTACATGTTTTTCTGTGCTTATATCTGCAGTAGAAAAGGATGTATTTTCTTAGAAATTGTGGAAAGGAAACAAACTTGGGGATGCAAATGCTCAGAGAGGCCATAAAAGGAGAGAAAATCTCACCCAAAGACCTTTTCTCTTTGGCTCATTCAATGTTCAGTTGGCAACATTTAAAAATGGAATGATTTCTCATAAAAATCTAGTAGGTCTGTCCACATGAGTCACCATGGCCCATGCGGCTGTGTCTGGTGGCTCTCCAACTCTCTACCTGGTATTGCACCCAGAGGGGTTCACTCATTACCTGCTTGGGCTTTGAGTGTAGTGGAGTCCGGTCCCTTCTCTTTAAGCAGCTCATCAGTTCCCAGGAGCCTGCTTTTTTGGTACACTATGAATATACTCATGTGATTTTACACATGTTTTTCCATCAGTGATCTGGGGAAGCCTGAAACTGGGGATGGGGATTCTGCTCCAAGGACCTACATTCCCCGAAGAAATTGGAGGAGACGCACTGATGAAGAGGCCACCAGCATTCTGGTTACGGGGCTCAGTGGATGCCACAGAATCGCTGCCTCTATGTAAATAATTAGATAAGGGCGTATGTGAACTGCATAAAATGTTTATTGATATGTTTATCATGCCAAAAAGTTACTTAAAATTCAAATTCCATTTGAAAGGAGGCAATAAACGATCTTTGGAATCCCAGCCCGCTCCTGGAGGAGCCCCCAGGCTCATGAAAAAGCACGCGCATTCTACCGCTACGTGATCCGCTCACTCAGAACTGCATTCTGGGAAACTCCTCCTAGAGATCCCTTGCAGGATGCCAATTGTGTCTTTAGTTGGTAGCCGGGCAACAACAGCAACAAAGACAAAATAATTCCATCCTAAGCCTTCTCAGGACATCTCTGACTTTGAAACTATGGACCCTCACAGGTCCCCCACCCGACCTAGAATATATGCGTATATATATTCTCGCTGAAAACAATATCACTGTTTTTGGTGCCTGCTGGCTGTCATGTCAGACCCTCAGGATGGCCTCAGTGCACCTGTGGATCCCGGCCACGGACAGGCGGCCCTTCAGGAGCGTTTGGTCTTGCTGCAAGTTGGGCACAGAAGCTGACCCTTGGTGACGATGTACGCCCGGCCGCTCAGTAGCTGCTCGCAGCCCTCACAGACAAAGTGCTTTCGGTGCCAGGCCAGGTCTTCTACACGCTGGTAGTCCTCTGAGAATATGATCTGGGGAGAGCAGAAGAAATGAGCCTGGTAGACTGTGTATGGAGGGCAAGTTGGAGGATGGTGGTTCGTCCTACCTATTCTTGTTCTGACCTTTCCGTGTCTCAGTGGAGAAACCTGACACCCATTTGAGGCACTAAGTACCGAATTTGGTGAAGGTCATGGTTGCATCTCAGCTCCTCAGATGGAAAGAAAAGTCCTCCACCATCAGCAGGTTTTACTTATCTAGGCTCTGAGACACTCTGGGTAATTGCAAAGCCCAGTTGTGTTCTGAGACAATATTAAATACCTCGGTGAGGACAGCCTAGCGAGAGCCAAGCTGCCAGTGGTCAAGAGCATGAGCACACAGGGTCACTCAGGCTCGGGACAAAGTGACATTTTGGAATATGCATACGGCGAGGAACCCTGAGCTCAGAAAGAGCAGAATAGTATACTTGTGGGACAGGCCTTCAGATGCTGGGGTCAAACAGGAGCTGGGTATGAAGCCTCACTTAAACACTTAGCTTTGCGCCCTGGCCAGTTTGGCTCAGCAGTTAGAGTGTTGGCCCATGGACCAAAGAGTCACGGGTTCGATTCTGGTCAAGGGCACGTACCTTGGTTGTGGTTCGGTCCCTGGCCCTGGTTGGGGTCATGCTGGAGGCAACCAGTTGATGTGTCTCTCTCACATTGATGCTTTTCTCTCTGTCCCTCCCAACTTTGTGACTTGGGGCAAATTGCTTAGCCTCCCTGTGCCTCAGTTTCCACGTCTGTAGAGTGGGGCTGTGAATACTGCCCACCCCGTGGGACGTGACGAGCGCTGCATGAACTGCTGCACTTGCCCTGCCTGGAATCCTGATGGACACAAGGCCAATGCCACGGCCACTGACCTCTCTGAGCTCACTCCTCTCACGTGTAAAGTGGACATGACGACTGTCTCTCCTTATGGGGTTGTTGTGAGATATAAATGGCACATCCCACATGAAGGATGTCGCAAATTACTGACCCACTGTAAGCCCTTTATAAAGGGTAGAGTGTTGCTACAGCGAATATACCGTTGTCCTCACAAAGACGAGGCTGAGGTTCTGGCCTGCTGACAGGCCTGTCCCTTTATCAATATCACCTGATGGCAAGTGACTAGGTCAGAAGCCTTCATTCAAATGGAGACCAACTGTGGAAGGTGGGAGGAGGCAGATATTGGCTTGAAATGCAGAAGACCCTCATATGTGCCACAGATGAAGGTAGTGAGTTCCCTGTCACCAAAGGCATGCAGACAGTAGTTCACAATTATTATTGTCATTACTACTATACCTTGGAGTTCCTCTAGTCTTAACCCATATTGGAGAGTTGAACCCCTCTCATAGCATCTCTACCTATTGTATTGTATTGTGTTATGTTACTGTGGTGTTACTGTATCATATTGTATAACATTATCCTAAGACTAACAGCAGCTCCCATTTATTAGTTACGTGGCCAGGCCCATGCCAAATATTTTCATTCAGTGTCTCATCTGCCTTCATAGCAACCCCATGGATGGACACTGCTGTCCTTCTCATTTTATAAGGAAGAAACTGAGGCACAGGAGTTGGGAAACCACACAAGTCACAGATGCAGAGCCAGGTACCTGCCTCCTGTTCCACCTCCTGTGATGTTCTTCTGAGCATTTACTAGGTGCCAAGGACAAGACGGGACAGGCACTGTGACTGCCCCATCCAACCACCCAAGGGTGCAAACCAATATCGGCCCCATTTTGCAGATGCGAAAACAGGCTGAGAGCGAAAGTGTGGCCCGAGCCTCAGTTTTCCCGTCTGTGGATCACATCACGAATGACACCATGCTCCCCTCGGGCCCTGGGTCCTCTCGCACAGCAGTGGGGGCCCCCTGCACAGCCGCACCGGCTCTCACCTCATCGCAGCCAGAGCACCGGGGCCGCACGCTCTCGCAGTAGTGGCGGCCGCACCAGGGAGCACCGTCCTTCCAGAAGTAGATGAGGTCCGCCAGCGGCTCGGAGCACTTGACGCACACGAAGCAGGCCGGGTGCCACTGCTTGTCGTAGCCGGCCCTGTCCGAGTAGACCACGGGGCTGTCGGCAGGTGCTACTCCCTTGCAGAGCTCACAGACCTGTGGGGGTGGGGGACCCCAAAGATACAAGGTAGTCAGGAGAGCAAACTGCTGTGGGTTCGAGTTTCAACTCCAGTCTCTCTACTCTTGGGTGACCTTGAGTACGTTGCTATACCTCTCTGCTCCTCAGTTTTCTCATCTGTAAAGTGGGTTAATATTGCCGACCTAGTAGGTTGTCGTGAGGACTAAACAAAGTACTTGTTTAGCACAGTGACTCTCAAACATTTTGTTCTCAGGACGCTTTATACTCTTAAAAAAGGTACAAAGACCTTTTGTTCATATGGGTAATAGTTATTGATATTTACCATAAGAGTAATTAAAACAAAAAGTTAAATAATTATATATTATTTCATTAAAAATTAAGCCAATACATTAACATTAATATTTGTAATTAAAAATAAATAGAAAAGAGTGGCATTGTTTTACATTGTTGCAGGTTTTTTGAATGACTGGCTCAGTAGAGGACCTCTGGGTTCCCGTAACTGCTTCCAGTTTTCATCTTTTGCATAATGTTGTTTTCTTTAAAGTATCTGAAGAAAATCTGGCCTCACACTGATATGAAGCTGGAAAAGGGAGGAGGAGTATTTTAACTGCCTTTCCAGAAAACTGTGTATAGTTTTCTTTGATTCTACATCAAAATTCAAATGGTCGTTTCCCAAATGTCAGTTAATATGGAATTTGGAACCCTATCAATCAACCTTTTGTCCTTGCTACATGAAAACCCACTGGTCCACCTTGCACTTTGAGCGGATTTTTACCCACGTATGTTTATTTTTCAATAACCTTTAAATTTCAGAACTGTTTAGAGTTACAGAAGAAATCATGAAGATAGTACAGCATTCTCATATACCCCACAGTTTTCTTTGTTCTTAACATCTTACATTAATATGGTATATTTGTCATGATAAAGTAATAATATGGATATGTTATTATTAACTAAAGTTCAAACTTTATTCAGATATTCTGAGATTTTGCCTAAGGTCCCGTTACTGCTCCAGGACCCCATCCAGGACACCACATTATACTTGGCTGTCGTGTCTCCTTGGGCTCCTCTTGGCTGTGACAGTTCTCAGACTTGCCTTGTTTTTGGTGATCTTGACAGTTTGGAGGAAGACTGGTCATGCATTTCATAGGATCTCCCTCCATTGGGGCTTCACCGATGTTATTAAGTTGGGAGGAAGACCAGAGGTAAATTGCCAACCAGATCACATCCTACCCAGAGTAATACTCAATCCATAGACTCCTTTGAGTCATTTTGGAGTTATCTCCTGCTCCTCAAAATTCTAACGATGATGATGACGATGATGAAGATGACAATGATGATGGCTATCATTTCCTTAGGGCAGATCTGTGTCCAACACCGTGCTCATTCATTATAAATACCTCTTAGAGAAACCCTAGAGAGTTAACTCTAGAAGGAGAAAGATCTTCCTTTTAGGGAAATCATTATTTCCCCCAAGATATGGCAAAACAGGTTCAGAGAGATTTGGCAACTGCTCAGTAACATACTGATAGGAGGCAAAGCCGGAATTCGAACATGGGCCCCAAAGCTAAGGTTTGTTGGGCTACATGTTGATCAGCATTGGCAAACTGGTGAGGCCAGACCTGCCATGGCCTGTGCTTGTAGGACCCACCAGAGAGGAATTCCAATTCAGTGGAATGTTTTCTCAGAAACGAATTCCATTTTTCTCACTAGCAGACCTGTGTTATGCACTGAATTGTGTCTCCACCAAATGTCTGTGTTGAATTCATACATGGGAGCCCTAACCCCAATGTGTTTGGAGTCAGGACCTTTATAAAAGGAGGTAAATAAGGTTAAGTGAGGTCGTAAAGATGGGACCCTAATCAGGACTGGTGCCCTTAGAGGAGGACAGACCGGAGACCAGGCAGATGCTCTCATTGTCCCTGCGGATTTACAGAGGAAAGGTCGTGTGAAGGCACCGTGAGAAGGCGGCCGTCAGCGGTCCAGCCGTCAGCGGTCCGGCCGTCAGCGGTCCGGCAAGAGCGGTCTCAGCAGAAACCAACCCTGCCAGCACCTTGGCCTTGGCCTTCCAGCCTCCAGAACTGTGAGAAAACACATTTCTGTTGCTTAAGCTACCTAGCAACCTGGTCTGACTAGTACAACCTATATTACAAAAACGTGTGCTTACTTATAATATTATACAGTTGACCCTTGAACAATGCGGCAGGGGGCAGGGTTGAGGGTGCCAACGCTCTGTGCAGTAGGAAATTGGCATATAATTTAAACTGACTGCATATTTGGACTGCCAACCACAGACTGAAAATACATTGACCCTTGACTAACATGGGGTTAAACTGTAGAGGACCCAAACAGTTGAAACCTGTGCTGTTGAAGCTGAAAGGTCAACTGTATTTTGAACAACAAATACAAAAAATTTGGGGAAATTTGTCTTTTCTCCTGTTACATGAAGTGCCCACACAGTATCACTGATTTGGCCCTCGGCCTGCACCCCTGAGATATTGACTACTTGGCTCCTACGGAAACCATGTGCTGAGCTGGCTTGGAATGAGAACTTTACTAAGCAGCAATTCCATGTCCACCCCCATTGAAGCCGTTCCTGTTTTGCCCTAGAGGGATGAGTAGATGTATGTTAAGAGCCTAAACAGTGTTCTTCATTGAAATACTTTAATTATGTACTTAATAGATTCCTGCGTATGAAGAGGAGATAAAATCAAAGTGGTGGAAGTTAAGGAAAGAACAAATGACCAAGAACGTCCACGTGCCCATAGCGGTCTCCAAGCACGGTGGCTGTCGAATGAACGTCGAGGGAAGAGATGTGTTTGGCTAACCGATCCTGCCAGCCTGCCGCTGTTCCTTAGAATGTGCTGGATTTGTGCTTTCAACTACACCCACAGGACGAGCGGTGTGAGAACCCTGTGTCGCTGCACAGGCTGAGTCCCCTCACCTGGAACCGACCCTTCAGAGGGTTTAAACCCAAAGTGAGTGATGAATCAACATTCATTTATTCTCCCCATCTCTTCAGCATAGCTGGGACGTGTGACCCATTTGGCAAAGGCTGCTCCAGAACCAAGCGAGTTTTCTGTGTCTGTCTCTCTGAATTTCACAGAACGAAACTTCCAGTCCTTCCCTGCCACGGAGGAACTTACTGTCAATCCACAACACGGGTGGGGTGTCACCAGGATGCATCAGAGGGAAGGGGAGAGGGACACAGGTGCACCTGGCGGGTCTGGGACAGCAGCAGGTACCCGTGACCCAGAGAAGGAAGTGGAGAATAGGAGGTCAGAAAGGCAGTTTGGGGTGATCATGGGTGGCTTTGCACCCAGGTTCTGGGTTGGGATTCACTTTGGAGGTGCTGGAGAGCCATTACTGGTTCTTGGGGTGAGGAGTGCCGCGCTGGGGTTGCACTGTAGGGTGATCATTCTGGTGGCACGTGGAGGAAAGCAGATTCGTGCTCCCGTGCTTGGTCGCGGCTCCTCAGCCGTCTGCAGGTCCCTCGTCAAGGGCCTCTCTGAGGCGTGTCTTCCCTCGCGGTTTCCCCAGCATCCCTGGCTCTTGGCCTCGTTGCTAACAGGAGCCAGCCCTTCTAAGTAAACAGTGTCACTGACATTTTATGAAAGTAAGATGTCTGAGTAATAAGGCCTGTCAGCATATGTCAGGAACCAATTTTCTCCTCCTTGCCTCTGAGCTGCTTTCTGTGCCCCTTTCCCTTCATCTCAAAGACAGACAGATCTGACAGCATCCTGGCTGTCACCTGGATGCCCCAGCCACCAGGGGAAGGCTGGCAACGAAGAGTCTGAATGCCTAGCCTGCTCCCACCTTTCTCTGTACAAACTTAATACTTCTACAGTCTTTGGTACTGAGGTTTATAATTTCTAAATTTCAGGGGATGGTTTGGGGGGGTTAACTGTGTGACCTTGGGCAAGTTACCCAACATCTCTGCGCCGTAGTTTTTTTCACCTGTCAAATAGGGATTCCTATAATAATATTAACAACATCATAGGGTTGTTGCATGATTAAATGGGATAACAGAGTTAATGGACTTTATAAGGGATCAATAATAATTAGCTAAAATCTCCTGTTATTCCCAACCCCAGCCCTCCCTATAGGTAAGAAAGCCGAGGCTCGGAGGAGTTAAATCACTTTCCCAAGATGACAAAGACATGTTCAAGGTGGGATCCGCATTTGCTTTGGAGGCCTGGGGTTCCTTTCCTAACACTGCTAGCATGTAGGTTGGCATCGAGTTGTGTGTCTCATTACTTGGTCCCTACCCCAGAGTCAGCTACAGCTGTGCCTGGCCTCGCGGGTCTGCTCTGATCCCTCTCCAACCCCACCCCCGAGAAGACGGTGATTCTCAGACCAGAGTCTGCCCAGCACTCCCAGAGGGCTTAAAGCAGATCGCTGGCTCTACCCCCGAGGTTCTGATTCAGTAGGTCTGGGATGGAGCAGAGGGATTCGCAAGTTCTCAGGGGGTGCTGATGTGGTCAGGAGACCACACTTTGAGAACTACTGTCATAAAGTGTTTAAAAATGATCTTATAAATAAACTCAGCAAAAACGATACAACCAGTTTGATTTAGTTACAGCAAAAGCCAATCTGAATTCCTGGCATGCTTCAATTCTACACTATTCTAAAGAAAGCCGTATGTGGTCCTTGTAGGTCACCTGGCCCGAGAAGGAGAGAGTGTGGTCAAGTAGGGGTCCCTGGGACAATGTTAAAAGGCAAAAACAAGAACATTTATCATTAGCATGTTAGTTGGTTCTTACTCATACTCCCCACTATCTAAAACCAGAGCTTGCACCCTGGCTAGTGTGACTCCGTTGGTTGGGCGTTGTCCCATGCACCTAAAGGTTGCTGGTTCGATTCTCAGTCAGGGCACATGCCTGGGTTGTGGGCTCGATCCCCCATAGGGGCACGCAGGAGGCAGCCATCAATGGTCTGCTCTCACATGGAAGTTTCTCTCTCTCTCTCCCAAAGTTAATAAACAAACAAACAAACAAACAAACAAACAAACAAGCAG